CATTTGCATATATATATATATATATATATATATATACTAGTGCAAAAGAAGTTTTTTACGTCAGTTATTTAAGGTTTTTACATCAGAAAAACTTTCGACGTTAAAGCGGGAGACGTAAATTTACGTTAGCATTTTAGACCGACGTAAATTTACGTCGGAGATTTTTGAATACCGACGTAAAAAAGTAGCAAAAACCCAAAAAAAATTACGCTAGAACGGCCCGTTCTACAAGGAGAACGGCCTGTTCTACAAGAAGAACAGCCCGTTCTGCAAGGAAGGCCCGTTCTCCTTGCAGAACGGCCCGTTCTCCTGAGAGTCGTGTCCCTAACTTGAACTGGTAGTCCATATTCAAGATCCAGATGGCATTGTACAAATTTTGAACTCCTTGTCATACTCTGCTCCTGTCTGCAGCCAAAGATAAACATTATGATACCATGCAATTTGGTGGATAAAGAAAATAGAAAAGCGAAAGGAGCTCTTCGAACGTAGGAAAGGAGCGAAGAACAGGAAGGAAAATGGCGTGCGAAGCATGGAGAACGGGAAGGAAATCTGGTGAAGAACGAGAAGAATGGAGAGGCGCTACGCAACTTAACTATACATTTATAAAAAAACTATTTTACGTCGGAGGATAAAGGTTCCGACGTAAATTCAACAATCTACGTCGGTTGTAGCTGAGGTCCGACGTAAATTGTTGAATTTACGTCGGACCCTTTGTTATCCGACGTAAAAAAGTTTGCATTATTTTCAAAAATGCTACCGCGTCATTTTTACGTCGGATATATTTTGGTCCGACGTGAAAATACAGACGTAAAAAGCCTCTTTTACACTATATATATATATATATATATCAAGATCATAATTTTGCAAGATTTACTCAATCAATAAGATCTTTTTGTCTTTTCCTAAGAACAGATCAATTTAATAAGTGAGACATATCCATGCAAAAATTTGAATAATAATATAATCTATATAGCATGAGTTATACGGTTTTGCAATGACAGATCACTACATGACATTCCATTTGCAAATGGAAGAATTATTCCTTGGCAAGCCATGTTTTTAACCAAATATAATGTAGCAAAAAAATTAAGTACTAATCCTTCTGAGCTATATATTGAGATGTATTTAAAAGGGTGCGTCCTTAACAAATACTTTTTAATATATACATACCAAAGATTGAATCTTTGACCATGTATTTGAAAGACAAAATTTTCATCTATTAATCATTTTACACTTTATTGATAAATTCAAATTAAGAGTCATTTATATTTAATGTTTCAATCAAGATGTTGGTAGGAAAATCAAACATATATTTAGGAAGATGAAATATATATAATATATATATATCAATCATGTGCAGACATATTTTTTTAAGATTATAAATCTCGGTATAAAATTTTTTTACACTTTAAATTAATGAAAAGTTATTTTTAATACAATTTTTAAAATAATTATTATAAAAATTAATAAATTTATCATACATAACTTTGTTTGTAATCGGGTGATATATAGTGTAAGACTGATCTACATTGTCATGGGCATGGCATAATAATTTATTTTTTCTGTATCTTATTCTGTCAGATATTGCATCTTCATGAAATTATAATTTTTATCAAACTAACATTCAACACCTGTAAATTCTAATTCATTAATTGGTAGAACAAACCAATCCTCGTTCACTTGGTTTTCCTACTACAAGACAAATCGTGTCCTATTCTTGTCCACAAAAGCAAAAGGAATGCAAAAGGGATCCTCCATCAAAATTTCTGTTTTTTTCCCCCTTTCCCGCATGAGTGAAAACATTATCATGGAATATAGAAAAAGTTTCTCTCTCTTTCTTTTTTTTATTTTTCTTTTAATTAATATTTAAGACTTTGAGATTCTGCAATCTTATTTCAGAATTGTTTGTTCCTTCTTTTGTCTTATTCAACCATATTCCTTCACAGCCAAAATCCGACACAACATAGTCCAATAGCCAACCTAGCTTCACCCAATTGTATGGTTTTAACCTAATCTCATATTACTCGTGTTCTCATAATATTTATTTATATACTTGGTTTCTAATTAATCAATCAACCACATAGCCAACATCTCTATCTTTCTTCCTTGCAATTTTAATTCAAATGGCCACTGCTCTCTCCGAAGCCTATAGAGACCACCCTCTCCACCTTCATCACATCATCCCCTTAGACTTTTCTTCAGTTAGGACCTTACCTGATTCCCATGCATGGCCTCAATCTGAAGATGATGATGATGATGATAATCATCATCATCATGGAGCTGGATCATGCATACCCATCATTGACCTCATGGACCCAAATGCCATGGAACTCATAGGCCTTGCTTGTGAGCAGTGGGGTGCCTTCCAATTGAAGAACCATGGCATACCCTTGAGTGTTATGGAAGAGGTTGAAGAAGAAACAAAGAGGCTCTTTGCTCTCCCCACCGGCCGGAAAATGAAGGCGCTGAGATCCACCGCCGGCGCAACCGGGTACGGCCGAGCTAGGATATCTCCATTCTTCCCCAAGCACATGTGGCATGAAGGATTCACCATCATGGGGTCTCCATGTGATGATGCCAAAAAGATATGGCCTAATGATCATGCACGGTTTTGGTAAGTACAAATGTTACAATCTCATGCATTTTCATGCAACGTGGTCTGTCATATGCTAATACAGACATGCTTTGATAGCATCCAAGTTTTTTCCGGAATGGAAGCCATTACAATATGTTGTTGGTTTCAAGTAATTAGTTTTTTTTTTAATCAAGTCATTATTATAAATTATCTAAAGATTTTGTTATTAATTAATCTTTATTAAAAGATTTTACTGATCACTTTTAGTGTAGTCATTGCTATTAATTATGTTTGTTTTTCATTTATAAAATTTAAATTTAATTCTTTATTTAAGGATCAAATCAATATCACCTGAATCAATGATTTGTTAATTTTTTGAACAATTAATATGAATTTAAAATATGCTATATATTAATATATTTTCTATTAGTTAAAGTTTATTAAACATTTTTTATTAGTTAAAGTTTATTAAAAATAGAGAAAAAAATTGTAGCTCTCATTCATTTAATGATTCTATATATCTAATAATTTTGTAGTTTTAGATAAATTTTAACGGACGATAATGTTTTGCTAGCAAATAGTATAGACAATTAAGCGTGCCTTAGTATTCAACACTTCTCTTTCGAAGATAAAATAATTCTAAATGAAAGAATAAAAAAAATGTCACTTTTGTCCTCATTAGCTATATGATTAGATTCTTTATTCCATCACATGGACGTGTTAAAAAAATATAATTAGTGAAAGTTAAGGCTATGGATTAGGATTACCTTTAAATTCGTAAGTAAAGATATCCTTTGAATATTATATACACAGTACATCAGTTCGAGGTTATACAACATCTCAACTCAACTACCCTAATTAAAAATCATATTTTAAGGTTTTATGACAAGTGTATTTATTCTGTTGATTGTAAGCATGTTTTTAATTAGATGAACTCTTTATAGTTAGGTCTTAATGCAAACAGGTGCCGAATGAAATACCCATTATTACTCCTTTCATCATAACAAAATTTTATAACATCCAGCAAATGTCTACATGTGTCAATACTTTTTTCCTTTTAATATTAAATAATTTCTATAACCCAGTCAATTTAACGACAGTAAAATTTAGATAACTTACATTCAAATTTCAATTATTAATTATAAGTATACACGAAAAATATTAAATAACCTTTATTAAATACGTATTATATAAACTTTATCTAAATTTGTCCATTGCAAATGTCTTTATACAAAGAAGAAAACTTCTATATGCAACTTATTATTTTCCTTTGAAGTGTCGTTTTACGATCAAAATTAGTGTTTCATTTACAGACACGGTAATAAGAAATTTATATTAAAAATTAATATAAATCATTAAGATAAAACCTTAATTTTTATAGCTTCAAAAACACTTAAAACATGAACTCATTTATATGCTTTGTTCTTACACAAGACCTTAATTTCTAAAATTTCTTATACAAAACCTTATTTATAGAAGATTATAATAGTATATATATAAAGTTAATGACTAATATTGATTGACATAATTGATAATAATTTATCTTTCTTAATTAAGTTGAATATGAAATAGATTATATTAAAAAGAAAATATTTATTTTACATATATTCATCATTTTTAATAAACATTAATTACTGTTTCTGTCGATATTACTGTCGATAGATATTTCATATTAATATTATAATTAAAATATATATATATATATATATATATATATATA